GATGGAACTGCACTGTGGCTATTCTCTGCCCCCCAGGGCCCATAGGGCATGGAGCAGGGTCGTGACTGGGGGTGATGGCACTGTGGCTGTTCTCTGCCCCCCATGGGCCATGGAAAGTAGGGTCTAAGTCCATGCAGCCCTGAGGCTGCTCTATTTGATATGGAGGACCAGGCAGGCCCCCAGAGTATGGCAAGTGCAAAGCAGATCTGAAGCTCCTTTACCTCCCCATCTGAGTCTGCCCCAAGCACAGGATCTGGCTAGCTGAGGATCGGACCCTCAGGGTCACAGAGAGCCACGCCCCCAGGGTGTATTCGTCCAATCGGCCGCATTGCAGATAAACAGGACTTCCCAGCTCCTGGAGCCACCCTCCTCCTGGTGATAGTCGAGTTTTCCCTCCAGCTGGGAATAACAGCAGGGGAGCCTGTGGCCGAGCCAGCCAGGGAGTTAGGGGTGGGGTTATGGCTAGGATTAGGGTTAGGGTTGGAGGCTATGGAAGGGGGTTAGGGTTGGGATTATGGTTAGGGTTAGGGTTGGAGGCTATGGAAGGGGGTTAGGGTTAGGGTTGGGGTTATGGCTAGGGTTAGGGTTGGAGGCTATGGAAGGGGGTTAGGGTTGGGGTTATGGTTAGGGTTAGGGTTGGAGGCTATGGAAGGGGGTTAGGTTGGGGTTATGGCTAGGGTTAGGGTTAGGGTTGGAGGCTATGGAAGGGGGTTAGGGTTGGAGGCTATGGAAGGGGGTTACGGTTGGGAGTAGGCTTTGGGTTTATTGATGGGGTGGGCTTAGGGACGGGCTTTCCCCATGGGACCCTGTTCTCACAGTCCCCTCTGTGTGTTTCCCTCCCTCCAAGGGGTAACCTGCTGCCCAACCTCACGGCCCAGGACATCCAGACGTGCCGCTTCCACCCAGTCACCCAGCCCTTCTGCCCCATCCTGCGCCTGGGCGACATCGTCCGCTTTGCCGACCAGGATTTTTCCAAGCTGGCCTCCACGGTGAGATTCGCGACTCCCCACATTCGGCTCTGGCCTGGCAGCCACATGCCAGGAGAGAGCACACGTGTGATGGCGCATGTGAATTAGGACCATCTCCAGGGGGCGTCCTTCAACACACAGCGGAACGGGGGAGCTGCAGGGGACTCTGGGGCCTGGGTCAGTCCCTTAGAATGGGGGAAGGGGTCCGTCCAGTGACATGGCGTAGTGGCCCCTCTATGGTGCTGCCTGGGGTAGTTTGGCCTAACACCCCATCTCTGTGCACAGGGAGGAATTCTGGGGATCAAGATCGGGTGGTTGTGTGACCTGGATCGCTCGTGGGAGCACTGCGTGCCCAGCTACACCTTCACCCGCCTCGACAGCGTCTCCGAGAAGAACAATGTCTCTCCCGGCTACAACTTCAGGCAAGTGCAGCGGGTGTACACGCACACACGCAAACACACGGAAAAAGTTGTGTGAGACCCCGGGGTTAACTCACTCGCTGGGACACGCTCAGGGCACATGTCCCTCCTCTCACACGGGCATATAGCACCTTCCAGCTACACACAGACACAGCACAGACCCCTGACTACGCACACTGCCCTCTATATACACACTGACACACCTCATACACCCGACTCTACACGCACTCCCCTCCAGTTCCACACCAAATACTCAATTACACACACTACCCTCTAGCAACACTGACACACCAGACACTATTACACACACTCTCCCAGTTACACCCCCACACCTACATACTGACTCACCCAGTTACATACACCCTCCCTGCTACATACACGCACACACTACCTTCATACCAGACCCTTCCTTCCACACACTGTGTGTCACCTCCCACACACACACACACACAGCCGCCCGTCGGTGTGCACACCTTGGTGCACCGGGGACCAGGGGGTGGCAAGTCACAGCCCCTCTCCCTGTCCCCAGGTATGCCAAGTACTACAGGCGGGAGAACGGCACTGAGTACCGGACCCTGATGAAGGCTTTCGGCATCCGTTTTGATGTGCTAGTCTACGGGAATGTACGTACGGCCAGGCAGCCGGCAGGGTCAGTGGGAGGAGCCAGCACTGAAGCCCTAGGATAGGGGAAGGGAGCTGATGGGGAATCACCAATGTGTGTGAGGGGTCTATACAAGGCTTGTAGAGACCATCCCATGGGCATGTATAGCTCTTGGTCAATCAGAGCATTGGGGCTTCTCCTCCCCTCCATGTGCGGGCCCAGGTTTGGGACTACCCCCATGTGCCTGACTCTCCATGCCACCCCACCTCCTGTTGGTGAGGAGGGTTCCAGCTTGGCCCCTCATTGTCCTTCCTCCCCCTGCAATGAGAGCGGAGGACTCCCCCACATGGACTCAGGCCCCTGCCGAAGCACCATGGGGTGTAGGAGGAGTTGGCTGGCTGTGGTCGTACGCCTGGAGACGCAGCGCCACCTGGTGGCCATGTTTAATGAAGGAGGACGAGAGCCTCAAGACTCACGTGCCCAACGGAAGGCACAAGGCAGGAGGGGAGGGGCACAGATCCTCAGGCTGGGTGTGGAGAGGGGGTTACACCACCCTGTACAGGAGAAGGAGGGGCGTTCTGGGGCAAACCTTCCCTCCCCCAACCACTAACTCCACCCTCTGTCCTCTCAGGCTGGGAAATTCAACATCATCCCAACCCTGATCAACACCGTGGCAGCCTTCACCTCCGTCGGGGTGGTGAGTGCAACGGTCTCTCCGCCTCCTTCTCCTTCCCCTCTGCCCGCTCCACAGGAGCCGGCGTGAGCAAGCCCCGGACTGCAGGGAAAAGGGAGGCCCTGGGCGGAGCAAAGAGCTGTCCATCTGGGCAGGCCTCCTTGCTGCTTAGTGAAGCCCTGAGTCAAAGGTCAAATCCAGGCTCGCCAGGGACTGCAGAGCCGCAGAGAGAATCCAAGATGGCACCATAGTGATGCCCCGGGAGGTGCTCTAGCCTCCACTCAGCAGTGTGTGTGTCACCCACCCCACTCAGTGTAGGGCTCTGTCTAGGGTTACCATATTTTAGTTTTAAAAAAGGAGGACACTCCACGGGGCCCCGGCCCCACCCCAACTCCGCCCCTTCCCCAGCCCCGCCCCAACCCCAGCCCCGCCCCAACTCTGCCCCCGCCCCTGAACACTCCGCCCCCTGCTCCTCCCCCTCCCCTGCTTCCCGCGAATCAAATGTTCACGGGAAGCCTGAAACAGGGAGGTAGCAGGTAAGCTGGGGCTGGGGCGGGGTGCAGCGCGGCCCAGTCCGGCCCCCCTGGCCGAGCAGCTCCCTCCGGCGGCCGGCCGGCCCAGGCCAAGAGGCTCTGGCCCCGGCTTCTCCCGCCCGGCTCGGCTCGGGCCCTGGGGCGCCGGCCCCCGGCCGAGCACCCCCGGCCCAGCACTGCCGGCCCCGGCCCCGGCCCCGGCCCGGCCCCGGCCGAGCACCGCTGGCCCCGGCCCCAGCCAAGCACTGCCGGCCCCGGCTCCCAGCCGAGCACCGCCGGCCCCGGCCGAGCACCACCGGCCCCGGGATTTTGGGATTTCCTCCCGGACGGGATTTGAGGCCCAAAAAGCCGGGCATGTCTGGGAAAATCCGGACGTATGATAACCCTAGCTCTGTCCCTGCTAGTGGTGGTCAGACCCCAGAGAGAGGTTACTGATACTCCAGCACTGCGGGCTCTGAACGCACGAGCCCGGGTACCTGCGCTCAGCCCAGCTCTCAAGGGGAAGGGCTAGGCCCGCTCATCAGCCTCTCTCGGCTCAGGATCCATGTCCAGCCTCCTGCTCCCAGAGCCCCCCCTGCCATGAACCCAGAGGCCTGTGGGTCCTGCCCTGCTGCCTTTGGGCCCCTGTCATCCCCAGGTGACTGGGGACAACCCCACACCCAGAAAGGAAGGCCCCGCCCCTTGCTGAGCCTGGCTGGGCCCCCCTTCAGCCTGTCTCCCCTCCCCGGCAGGGCACTGTGCTGTGTGACATCATCCTCCTCAACTTCCTGAAGGGCGCAGAGCAGTACAAGGCAAAGAAGTTCGAAGAGGTGAGTCCAAGGGAGGCGGAGCCCAAAGTGCTGCAGAGCCTGGCACACCCAACAGAGAGCGGAGTGCTAGATCTGGGGCGTGCTCCTGGCTACTCCAGTCCTGGTGTCTCCCAGCAGGAGGCGCTGCAGGGAGCAGGACAGGAGCGCTGGCTGTGGGGGGAGCTCCCGGCTGCTCCAGTCCCAGCCTCTCCCAGCAGGGGGCGCTGTGGGGAGCGGAGTTGGGAGCGCTGGCTGTGGGGCAAGCTCCTGACTCCTACCAGCATGACTGTGGCAATAGCCTGGCAATCCCCGCCATGGGTGCTGCCTGTGGGGAGGTCCCTCCATGCCCTTGTAGTGGGCGTTGACCCGGCTCTGTGCCCATTGCAGGTGACGGAGGTGACCCTGCGCCACAGCCCCGTGTACAGGAGCAGCCAGATGCTGGGAGGCCGGAACGATGAAAAGCAATCCACCGACTCGGGGGCCTACTCCATCGGCCTCTAGTGCCCCTGCCCCTGGCGACTGGACAGTTTCCTACCCGCCCTCTGTTGCCGCAGGCACCTCACCCCTGCTCATAGGCAAGGGCATCTTTTGTACACTCCCCTCCTGTGAGCCTCTGCTTCTTCCATCTTCCTCATCACCGGCCAGAGTCTTCCTCATGGGCCCCCTCGCCAAGGGGGCGGAAATCTCTCCTCCGGCACGTCCTCATGAAAGCACTGCCATCTCCCTCAGGAAGCATGTACCATTCCCTCCCCATCGAACCTGGGCAGTGCCAGGGAGCAGGCACGGCAGACAGGGGCCAGCTTGGCTGCTGCTGGTACCGGCGCCACTCAGTTACCAGCATGCCTGGCGCTGTACAAGAAATGGGCAGCACTCCTCACCCTGGGGAGCGTGTGCTCCTCAGCAGGGGGCGCTCTCTCTGGGTTTGGCTGGGTGCTGAGAGCTCGGGAGGGCGCCCTTGGGACTGAGGGGTGGATGGGATTGGTTCCCTTGTCCCAGCAGGGGGCGCTCTCTCCAGCTCAGGCGCTCTCTCCAGCACTGAGAGAGGCACCCCAACGGTAGGAGTGTGGGGTCTCCTTTCGCCAGCAGGGGCTGCTCTCCCCACCTTTGCCCCTATTTCCATCCTGGCAGATTCCCAGATTCCGGAGTGGGGAGGAGGAAGCAGTCCTGGATGGGACGGGGCATCTGGGCCCAGGGATGTGCTATTCCCCCCCTCCAGTGCTGACTCCATTCTCCCACGCCAGGGCTTTTTAATCAATAAAACTCACTTTCTCGTCAGTGTCCCTCTGGGCTGTGCTGGGGCAGGCGTGCAGGTTGGGGCTCTCTCCAGGGCTTGCTGGGTGTAGGGGAACACGGAAGTGGCAGGCGCACGTAACCGGTGCTTCCTGCTCTGTTACCATCACCACCAATCAGCGCTGGATTGGCCAGAGCCGGGGCTCGTCTGTTCATGCCCAGCTAGGGAGATTGCTGAGATTTCAGCCCCGAGACCCCCCTGCTTGGGGAAGCGGTCGTACCGCTGCTTAGCAGAAACACCTTAGCCCGTGTTGGGCTGGAGCTCTCCTTGGGGCGTAGCCTCAGCTTCTGAGCCCTCAGCTACAGCAGCAGTTGTACCAGTCCTGGCATGAGCCCCACCAGTGTGGACCTGGTTAGTGTCACTGGTCGGGGCAACCGCACCTGTATTTCCCCTCCTTAGTCCAGCCAGGCCACCACCTGAAGGCTTCTAGCTCCAGGGCCGTCCCTACCCATACGCAAAGTACGCAGCTGCGTAGGGCACCAGGAAAATTTCCTGGTGCCCTGCGCAGCTGCATGCTGCTCCAGCCCCTGCCCCGCCTCTTCCCCATGGCCCCCGCACCTGCTCCGCCCCAGTCCTGCCTCTTCCCAACACTGCTCCACCCCAGCCCTACCCCCACTCCACCCCTTCCCCAAAGCCTCCCGCCCCAGCCCTGCTCCGCCCCAGTCC